GCACTTGGTTATCTTGTATGAATATTCACAGTAACTTCAGAACTTCTACCGAAAACAAGAGGTACATGTAAAAGTTACAGGTGAGTAAAGATGAACGGTATTTTCAACCCAAATGACAACTTATGCGACAAATTTATTGCTAAACGGCCAAGTATAAGACCCCATCATCCCTGATTTAGAACTGCTGACCACAGAGAGGACGATTAATCAGTAGTACCCGCTGCTGATACTCTTAACCGAAAAGAAGAAATACTTGTAAAAGTTTTTATAGTTACGTTCCATGCCGAAAACAAGAAGTAGATGCAGTTGTGATATACCACAATTTCACCAGTTTTGAGGATAATTTACAGAAAGAAAGAAAGAATAGTTCACTGTCTTCAAACAAATATTCTTAAATTATAATTTATAAATTCTTTTTCGTGCCCATGTTAAATGGACCTGATGGTTAGGGGAGCTTAACTCGCAATTTGAAGATCGTGGGTTCGAATCCCCGTCACTAAACATGCTTGCCCTTTCAGTCGTGGGGGCGTTATAATGTGACGGTTAATTCCACTGTTCGTTAGTAAAAGGCGTTGACTAGCTGCCTTCCATCTAGTTTATCACTGCTAAATTAGGGGCCGCTAGCGCAGATAGACTTCGAGTAATTTTGCTCGGAATTCACACCAAATCAAACTCATGTTATATATTACGTTTCTCTACACGCACTTTCATCTGGACTGATCTTTCTTGATTTTCACCTTTAACATAATTAAACCAGAACTGCATACTTAGCTCCACATTTCAATATTACTAAAACTTATATTTCCTCGATATATTTAGTGACTCGAGAAATTATTTGTTTATGACGAAACTGTTTAGGCTGAAATCAGACATGCATACAGCAATGGGGAACAACTCAATTAATAAGATTGTATTTGAAACAAACTTTCGTTTAGATACATATCCAACCAACAGGTTATTTTTGAAACTGTGACACGTGAGTTCGTTCTTTCTTTAATTTTACCGTATTTTCTCACTCTGAAACAGTGATGTTTTGTGTGTGTGTGTGTATATTCATTCTTACCTTTCTGGTGCTATACGGAAAAATCAGGACTACATTGTTGAAAGCAATTTAACGTCAGCCTAACTTGAGTGACTTGTTTTTTTTTGTTGTTGTTTTTTACACTTTGAGCAAACTGACAAACGTAGTTGATTCAAATGTTATTATCACTGCTATTCATTGATTTTAAACGCAACGCCGTATATAGATGCATACAGATAGATAAGCCTAAACGCAACGCCGTATATAGATTCGTACAGATAGATAAACAGACAAGTAATCCAGGTTTTCTGTTACGTCTGATCAGCAGAGGAGACTGATCGAGGTTTGTATTAATTGAAAGTCAGGTGGATGTCATCAAAATAAAACAATAAAGTGCGTGTGGGTGGGTGGAGGAGGGCTTCAACTACAATAACAAAAAGTCATTTGGCTTACAGATAAGCACAGACACCTAGGTGTACCTGTCAAAACGTTGTTGTTATCAAGATAAAGTGGACGGTATCCAATAGAATTTACCTGTTCCGAAATTACACGTAGGTCTACCTGATAGAACGCTGTTTTCATCAAGGTGAGGTGGAAGTTATCCCAGATAATTTACCTGTTCCGAAATGACACGTAGGTCTACCTGATAGAACGCTGTTTTCATCAAGGTGAGGTGGAAGTTATCCCAGATAATTTACCTGTTCCGAAATGACACGTAGGTCTACCTGATAGAACGTTGTTTTCGTCAAGGTAAGGTTGGTGGTAACCCAGAGAATTTACCTGTTCCCAACAGAACGATGTTAGTTTTTGTAAAGTGGACGGTATCCGAAAACACAGTAAAGCATCATGGAGATTGCCAGGAACTATACTTTGGCTTGGATAAATATGTGATTATCTGACTGGAACTTATGCATGATGAAACATTTTAGTTACGTACATAGTTCATGTGTTTAAGTTCATTTAAGTTACCACGTGATGCTTATATATAGTATCATTTAACACTTTTCCACTACAGAAATAAATTTACTGGAGCGAATATTCCAGTGTATTAAGATAACAGCAAACAGATTCTTAGAGTGCATGTCTTCCATATACTCAAACGTTCTGTTGCTACACTCCAACTGCGAGCATAATTACGAACATGGACATGATACGGTTGGTTTACTGATTCATATTCAAGCAATATTTAAACCTGTTGGTGCATGTAAGGCAAGCTTGAGCGTCAAACACAGTAGAAAATTATGTTATCATAAGCTCAAACAGCTGTACCACTCTTCGCGAATAAAGCTGTTGCCATAAGCACTGAATAAATGTAAAAACAAAACAAAGCAAACTAAATCGGACATTTTAAAAACAGAGGTTAATTTCTTGAATTTTGGAGTACGAAAACAAGACTAACGATACCTATCAGGCTAGTCAAGTTTGGACAAGTGTACCAAATAAACGTGTTCGAACCCTACACATTTTTTAACATCTGACAAATTCTTAAGAGCATATTTGTTTTGAAATTAGATTTTAAACGTACCATTCTGAACTGAAACGTGTCGACATTTTGCATAACTTGGAAGTCACTTATAGTGGACTTAAATACGTTCAATTGTAGGATAAATATTATCGAAATCAAGCAAGTGCGCTTTAGAAAATTCTGGATTTAAAATATCAAATTTGAAGATCATTTAATACATTTTTATTAGAACTCTTATTTTTTTGTTTTAGGTTTGTTTCGAATTTCGCGCAAAGCTACACGAGGGCTATATGCGCTAGCCGTCTCTAATTTAGCAGTGTAAGACT